GTGGGCACAACGCCCGAGAGGTTGACCACATGCGACGGCAAGTGGCGCTGGGCAGCGGATAGCTTCACGCGAGGGGGCTGGCGACCGAAGTGAGCGCGTTCAATGACTCCGACCATGACGATTTGACAATGGGATGTGTGAATGGACTTATGCATTGGAAGTACGTACGTACTACTGTTTTGGATGAGTTAGCAATGTTGACATTGAAGCTGACAGAGTGAGCAAAAGTAGCATGACCCATCGCCCATAAGTTGTGCCGCTACTGTGACCAGTGCAATCGCTACTGTAGGATTGTTAACTTTGTGAGTGCCTGTCATTTCGATTGGACTCGTGGCCTTGCCGAGATGGTTTAGAAGTAGGAAGATTTGCCTCAGTTCATTTAATTTAGATAGGAGAAGCTGTGAACGACAGCGCTCCCAAGCAGGACAGGGGCGACTTTCGAGGGTCCAGAGTACCCAGTGTGTTTTGACTGATCAGGAATATGCCTCAACGTTTTGTAATTGTTGGCCAATATTAGTACCGGTATGCTGAATGCAAAAACTAATCATGGTGGCTACAGTACTACAGTATCTGGATAGAGTCCATGTCTCTTAAATCTGGGATGTCGATTCCACCGATGATTCCTGAACTATAAAATGGAATATCAGGTTGGGCTTTGTTAGTCTAAGTAAGTTACACGCAACGTGCAATGCTCTCAAGTTAGTTATAAACGTTATGACAGCAAAATTAGCTGAAGCTACGAACGCATCAAGCGATTTGGTAACAACTACAGTAGCAAAACATCTTGCATTTTACATAGAAATCTGTGGTAACGTTATCTATCTATGCCAAGCCGGAACGAAGTACTGTAACAGATACTAGTATTAAAATTAGTTTAGAATAAAGTGTAAACTGAGCTTTGACTTGTCTGTCGAGGCCACATATGGAGCTGACGCGGGACCTAGGCGCCTCTTCAAGCGCTGTGTGCCCACTGCTGCCCGTTGAAAGCAACTAATGTTGGTCTGCAATGACGTGATCCTGGCAGAAGCGCCGTCGAAGTGCACCTGGATGTGCCCATAAGCTAGCACTATGGTATAAGCTAGCACTACGTTGTTGAGCGTTCGGTAGCACAAGGATGACACTGCACATGGAGGCGAAAGGGCCCTGAGAGATGTGCCTTCGATATGGAACTTCACTTCCACGCGTACGGTCAAGTTGGCCGTTGCATTGTCTGCAGCCACCACATCTATCACCACGACGCTCAACTGGTAGCCGGGAAATAGTGTAGCCCACTGGAGCCACAGTGCGTTCACAGCGTGGCGACCGGCGCTTCCGTCGCACTGGACGTCATGGCTAAACATGTCTGGGGGAGTGGAGGGGCATTGCGACTTGGTGAACTGCGTGACTAGGGCCAAGTAGTCGACGAAGCGCCGGGTGAGGGCCGAGTGGTACGCCTCGACACGGGACGGTTGCAGAGGGAATTCGTTAGGTGGAGGTACGGGAAGGGCAACACGTTTGAGGAGGCGGGACTTTTCCCGGGATCGACGCTGGGCCTGGACGAGCTGGCGCCGCCGGACGTCCGACGTGGGCACAACGCCCGAGAGGTTGACCACATGCGACGGCAAGTGGCGCTGGGCAGCGGATAGCTTCACGCGAGGGGGCTGGCGACCGAAGTGAGCGCGTTCAATGACTCCGACCATGACGATTTGACAATGGGATGTGTGAATGGACTTATGCATTGGAAGTACGTACGTACTACTGTTTTGGATGAGTTGGGGCTGTAAGCTCAATATGCCCCCGGAACCTCCGTCGAACTGCACCATGAAGTAGCCTTGCAGCGCCACGTCAGTTGGTTGGCGCCAGTGGGGCGTCTGCAAGCAAGCCGACGTCCTGTCTCCAAGCGTCATTTGCACTTCCACGCGTACGGTCAAGTTGGCCGTTGCATTGTCTGCAGCCACCACATCTATCACCACGACGCTCAACTGGTAGCCGGGAAATAGTGTAGCCCACTGGAGCCACAGTGCGTTCACAGCGTGGCGACCGGCGCTTCCGTCGCACTGGACGTCATGGCTAAACATGTCTGGGGGAGTGGAGGGGCATTGCGACTTGGTGAACTGCGTGACTAGGGCCAAGTAGTCGACGAAGCGCCGGGTGAGGGCCGAGTGGTACGCCTCGACACGGGACGGTTGCAGAGGGAATTCGTTAGGTGGAGGTACGGGAAGGGCAACACGTTTGAGGAGGCGGGACTTTTCCCGGGATCGACGCTGGGCCTGGACGAGCTGGCGCCGCCGGACGTCCGACGTGGGCACAACGCCCGAGAGGTTGACCACATGCGACGGCAAGTGGCGCTGGGCAGCGGATAGCTTCACGCGAGGGGGCTGGCGACCGAAGTGAGCGCGTTCAATGACTGTGACCATGACGATTTGATAATGCAAAATCAATCGATCGCGCAAAACGCGGCGAAGAGTCGTGGGGGGATTGAAATTTTTGGTGTCGTCGGTGGCCATGATCAGACAAGCCATGATATGCACACCAATACACTCACTCATGGGATGGCTGGGTCGAGATCGTTCCAGCACGACGTGAACCTGTCACGTACATAGACAGACACCTTTGATTGCACACTTGTGCTCTGAAAAATGAGAGACGCATTACAGGCATTGTACAAGGAATGATCGTGCAGCCGACGTTCAGGAACCCTGTCTCAACGTTGACCTGCTTTGGGGTAATAATGTATAGCCAGCGCCTTCAAGGATTCCTTGAATCAATATATATATATATATATATATATATATTCAACAAGGGACGACGGGGTTGAGTGTAATGCTACTACCGTCAGCCCTTTGTATCGATGCATTGTATGTAGAGCCATGTTGAAGGCAAGAGATGTCCTAGTAAGTTAGATTAGGATTCATGTGTTGTTGTGGGCTATGGTGGACACGTCAATATCTACCGTAAACTCGTTATCCACTACGATACTATTCAATGTCGTGCTGCCACGTAGGAGCAGAGAAAAGGGCTTGGTGGGTCGCCCAGCCAAGCATGGATTCTTGTATATATATGTGGTACTCCTGTATATGCCGGTATGTCGTGCTTGTGCGTGTCGGGGGAGCCGTGAGGGAGGGAGACCAATGACGGAAGTTGTGACATCGTCGCCGTTGTTGACAGTCGCAACCACACGACGCTATTTATTCCAAAATCCAAGCATGAACACCGGCTATACTATATATTAATACTATAGTATAGAGATTGCATATAGTTCTATCCCACGTTCCCCACACAATCACGACCACACCTTGTTTCCACGCACGTTCAAAGCATGTCCCCCTTCGTCGCAGGTGATGGAGTACCGCCAACGATGACGTGGGAGTTCCCTCAAAGACTCGGGGGATTATACAGTTATGCTCAGCACGTAATTCCTCAAGAGCGCTCAAATGTCCTCCGAAATATGTTGCATGTCAATATGGCCAGATGAAACGGTTCGTGAAACGACGTAACGCCACAGCGCCAGTGCGATATCCGGATACTATCCGGATTCCCCAATATTTAATAGTTCAGGCGGGACACATAGTGAACACAAGTCAAGTTTGACCTGTCTTAAAATAAAAATAGACTTCGGAATTCACGGGGAAAACTCGAGCGACATGGTCGCAAACAACGAAGGCGCGGCGGGCAACGATTCCATGGAAGTCGAAGGCAGCGGCAGTGCAGAGAGACAGGAAGTGTCGTCGTACTGGTGTCACTTGTGCGCGAGGAATGTACAGACCCGATTGAACACCGAGTCGGACGAAGTCGAGTGCGAAGGATGCGGCGGCTGCTTTGTCGAAGAGGTTGAAGACGATACGCCGGGGCAAGAACGGGCGCAGGACTTTGTGCCTCATGAAGGAACACCTCAAGAGACTTCGCCTGCGTCGCAAGAGCGCAGCGATAACGTCGAAGAAGAACCCCGTCGATCGATTCGCATCACCAGATCTTCCTTGCCGAACATGATGCATGACATTTTTCAGGTGCCAAATCGGCTACATTTGATGTCTGTGTGCGATGTCTGACTGAATCATATAGCTATCCCGTCAAGGCTCTGCCGGCAATTCAGACGAGTACGGCACCCGTCTTCGCCCAAGAGGGGATCGAACACGACTTAATTCTCCATGTAGAGCCTCCGACGAGCGTCGTGGACGCGTCGACCGACTCTTCACGAGTCGCGGCCAGCCCGTGGAAGTGTACATCACTGGTGCGGGGGGTCCCGGGACAGCTGGGCTCATGGGAGCCCTCAGCGGCATGTTTCAAAGTGGCGGCAACTCTGGCGGCACGCTTGGCGACTATGCATTTGGAAACATTTCCAACATTATCAACCACCTCATGCAGAACGACCCGAACCAGGTACGTTCTACCCTTCTCAGATTCGTTCTTATTCGATTTCCATTAGCATGGCGCCCCCCCGGCCGCGAAAACCGTGCTGGACGCGCTGCCCAAGGTGCACATTTCCCAGGTAATCGAGACAACCTCTCGCGCGACCACACACATACTGTAACACTTGCGTAGGACGAAGTGGACAACAAGCACGATTGCGCAGTGTGCAAGGACGTGTACGAGCTGAAGGAGGAGGCGCTGCGACTGCCCTGTGCCCACGACTTCCACTCGCATTGCATCCTTCCATGGTTGAAGCAGGTAGGACGACGAGACGCCATCTTGCGACGATCGTCATGTCATATGTGTAGCATAACTCGTGCCCCGTGTGTCGGTTTGAACTCCCCACCGACGACCAAGAGTACGAGAGCACGCGCGGAGGGGATGCGACCAGCACGCCCGCCAACAGTGCGATGGCCAGCTGATGGCGCCGTCGTCAGTAGTCTACCTTGTCCCCTCATTTATCGAACCATCCAATCACTTGAACTTCACTTCGCCTCTCCACATACACCCCACCCCTGAGATCGATCACATTAGTCCTGTGCCGTGGCCAACGTGATGACCGTTTCGCGCACTCTCCATGCGCATGGAACTCGATGGTGGCGTAAGGGGCTGGTAACATTCCCGTCCACACTTTTTGAAGTATGGACGGAAATACGACTCCTGATTGGCTAAAACGTGAATTTTTCCGGATAACACAACTCAAGCAGGGACATCTGAGTTGAAGCAGGGATGATTCATCCCTGCTTTTGAGTGCCCGTTCCTGCTTTTGCACGTTTTCGACAGAAATTAAGAAATATTTTTGATATATTTTCAAAATACTCAAAAATAGTTCGGATAACATCAGGGTGGTGGTCGGGATGGCAAATTGTATTATATTATTAGGTTGTTATAATACCTTTTTATAAAAAACCTAATTTCAAAATTCGACACTCACACTGCATTTTTTTGTCTTTTTTAGAATTTCAATTCGAGGTATTTGTCATTGACAGTGAAGGTTAACGCTGTTACGGTCATATTTATGAGCCTAGTAATTATTACTATTACTAAGCGTAGTACTTCGTAGTAAAAAGTTATCCCGTACTGTACCAATGTATCTTGAACTCGTCATTGTTTTAGAGGGCAGGACGTACCACCAGTAGGTTTTCAAGTGCTCACATCTTCTTTGCATACAGTACTTCGAAGTATTAGTACTAGTACTCCGGTGTAGACTACTGTAGTAAACACACTACGAAATACTACCGCGTAGCCCCCGACATCAAGCCTTTGTATACTGTTAGAGATTTTACTGTTATTAATAGACGTGAAATCTATCCTGTCGATGGGCTGATTATTTAGCTAATCAACGTTGTTTATGACAAGGCGGTGCTTTTGATTGGCTTATTCTGTTTCAAGAAAAAGATTAGTAGGTTTTATTGTATTTAAATCGAAAAAGAAAAAACTAGTGGGCCAACCTTAAATATTTAGGTTTTTTCCACCACCACTGGTCAAGAAGAAGGTTTTCAAAAATGCCAGAAACCCGTTGAAAACGAATGACCAATTATATTAATTTCAAGAGTAAAATCCACGATGAATACAGCCCCACCTGAAATCTGCCATCAGTTTCAGGAGATTGCGACGGCACGGCGGACGAACGATGGAAGGTATGTGTGGACCGTCGGGTGGCTCTGTGTTCATGGCACCCATGTGTAGTCGATGGAGACGTCAATGCGGTGGCCGTGCTTGTGGATGAGTTGCGGCATGACGACCCCAAGCTCCGCCTGCAAGCGATCAAAAAAGTGCAAGTTATTGGTGGGCAGGCCTAATCAACCACAGCACCTTTTGTCCACACGTATAATCGGTTGCATGTAGCATCGGCCCTTGGTCCCCAGCGAACGAGGGAAGAGTTGCTTCCATTCCTCAATGGTGCGTACAGACCTGTGTGTCCATGCAGTCGTGCGTGGCTGATGCCGTGACGCAGAAACGTTGGACGACGACGATGAAATCCTCTTGGCGCTGGCCCAAGAGCTCGGTACATTGCCCGACTCGTCTTCTCTACGTCACTCACCTTGTCCATCTCAGGCGAATTCGTCGACCTTGTGGGCGGACCGTTGAATGCGTATCACTTGCTGTCGTTGCTCGAATCGCTTGTGGCAGTGGACGAAGCTTCCGTTCGTGATACGGTACCACAGACTGATATAGGATCCTCGTATCTCACAGCATGCTGATGTCCCAGGCATGCAAGTCCATGTGCAAAGTCGTCCGGCAAATGACACCCGAACACATCACGGAGCACTTTGTCGCAGTGGTGCGGCGCCTCGTGACCCGGGAATGGTATGCCATCACCATGATGGGCACCTTCTTATGCTTTTGCAGGTACACGAGTCGCATTGCCGCGAGCGGTCTGTTCCAAGTCAGCTACGACCAGCTGCCCCCCGCCACGCAAGCCGAGATGCGCGCCATGTTCATCCAGCTCTGTCGCGACGACCTTCCGTTGGTCCGCAAAGCTGCCGCCACCGCGCTCGGTGGATTTGCCTCGATGGTACATGATCATCTCCATATCCGTCCGTGTCATCGCCGTCGTTAGATGGATCCTGCGTCCGCCACGGCCGAGATCGTGCCCGACTTTCTCACGCTGGCCAGCGACCGCCAAGACTCGGTGCGGTGTCAGACCGTCGAGAACGCCGTCGCCCTCGCGGCTCTCGTGCCCGTCGACGTGAAGCTCAACCAGCTGCTGCCGGTCGTGTGCGCCGCCGCCAAGGACTCGGCGTGGCGCGTCCGGTGGTCCGTCGGCAACAAGCTGCCCGAGATCTGCGCCGCCATGGGCCCCGACCTCGCCACGTCTGTCATTTGTAAGCAGTTGTGTTTTGATTTTTGGGGATGATGATCATGCTCGAGCACAGGCGACCAGTGTCTGATTCCGCTGCTGGGCGACTCGGAGGCCGAAGTCAAAACTGTGGCGGCGTCCAGGGCCCACGGCGCCGCCCAACACATGAGTCCGGCGCACCTCGTCGCCAAAGTCGTGCCCGCCTGCGTCACCCTCGCGCGCGATCCGTCCGAGCACGTGCGCGCATCCCTCGCATCTGTCGTGATGAAGATTGCACCCTTCTTGGGGCGGGACGTGGCCGTCCAGCATTTGCTGCCGTTGTTTCTGCAGGTACACGTTATATATATATATATTATATACCTGTCGAGAAGGGTATTGTGGCTTAGTCAAATGTATCTGCAATGTATATATATATATTATATATATATATATATATATGTGTGCGTGGGGGTTTTGTCGATGCGATGTAGTATTAATCTGTGTGTATATCGGTCAATACAGTTTAATCTTCATCTGTGTGTATGTATATATTTGTCGAGTGTTACAATTATATTTTAACCGAAATTGAGATACATGTGTCCATATATATCTTATATATATATATACGATTTAATCTGTGTGTATATATATCAATGCGCATTCATATTTACAACCTTATGTGTTGATATATGTACATGTGTGCATATGTAACATGTATCTTGCATCTGCGTGTTATGCAGCTTGAAATATATATATATATATATTATATACATGAGCCATCGTGTTTGAGAAACAGTGTAGTATATATAATGTATTTGTGCCTAGTTGTTGTCGGACGAGAGCTCAGAAGTCCGATTGAACATCATCTCCAACTTGGAAAAGGTCAACGACGTCGTGGGCATCGACCAGCTGTCCCAATCGCTTCTCCCTGCGATCGTCCAGCTGGCCGAAGACCGCCAGTGGCGCGTCCGCCTCGCGATCATCGAGTTCATTCCGACGTTGGCATCGCAGCTGGGTGTGACGTACTTTGAGGAGCACTTGATGGAGATGTGCATGGGCTGGCTGTGCGACGTGGTTTTTTCCATCCGCGAAGCCGCGACGCTCAATCTCCACCGCCTCGCGCAGCACTTTGGCGTCGCGTGGGCCCACGCCCACGTCCTCCCGCGCATCGCGTCGATGCATGTCAACGCCAACTACCTCTATCGTATGATCTCGCTGCATGCGGCCAAGGTGCTGGCGCCGCTCATGTCGACCGACCAGCTCCAGCACTCGATTCTGCCCCTCGTGCTGCAGCTGGCCTCGGTACGCCATCGAATGTATTTATAAGGGTTATTTCATTGACTGTACAGGATCCGGTGCCGAATATCCGCTTCAATGTGGCCAAAACGCTCGAGACGATGGCCGGCCAGCTGGACGACGCGGCCAAGCAGACGCTCGTGGGCCCAGTGCTCCACACGCTGGCAACCGACCCCGACGGCGACGTCCAGTACTTTGCAGCGCGCGCGATCCATCTCCTCCAGCAGCATTAGTGTTGGTTGTGTTCGCTCTTGAGTAGTGGCCATAGATAACGTTTATATAAATATGGACTAACTACGGGTAGATAAGTACGTACTGTAAGTGAGTCAACTCGGAAGAAGGCGTGCGTGGAACAGTGAACAAATGGGCGATAAGGCATAAGATATATAATGCGTTAAATATTGATTGAATACACGAGCAGGTATTATGTACTCCCTCCGTGTCACTATAAGTGCGCGACTCAGAAAAATATAGTATACCTCCTCGTATAAAAACACAAAACACTCCAAGATCCTATAACGATCATGCATTTATAAAGGTGTAACGATACAATTGTCCAATCATAACAATCAAAATGCATGTCTCAGGACCAATCACGCGTCGTACCGAATGCTTGGCGAACAATGCCAAGCATTCGATATATTTCGTCCAGACCCAACTTCGTTTCACTATATTTCGACTGATCTCCGGTATATGTCACTCCCCAGGCGGTATATTTCACGCATTGTTCAATATATTTCAAATGATGTTCCATCTATTTCGATAAATCGACGCAGTAATCGATGGAACTAACAGTAAGTAGCCAATGAAATTTTCGATAAAAAACTTCCCATCAATCAAATTACAGGCGTATCCTGTGCATTGCCAAGCTTCTCCTTTTCACAAAGAGTTCAAGTGAGTATATTTAGTTCAAGAAAAGTGACGCTCGACGATTTCAGGTGGCTTTGACGTCGTTACAGTCGAGTCTACCGTATGATTTAGAGAAGTATCCACCAACTGCGATTTACTAGTACTTTATTTGCTTCGAAAATCGAAATAGATGGAACATCATTTGAAATATATTGAACAATGTGTGAAATATACCGCCTGGGGAGTGACATATACCGGAGATCAGTCGAAATATAGTGAAACGAAGTTGGGTCTGGACGAAATATATCGAATTTTCGGCGACATAACGCACATGGCGTGAATCAGTTGTTCGTTGGACGAAATATACCGGAAATACCTTGAACTTCAGCGAAAAATGGTGTATAGTAACGTAGATGGCCAGTTTATGGTGCACGGAAAAATGAAATTGCCAAAACATAAGCAAAACCCGTATACATATTTTAAGCTTAAATCGTGCACCATAAACCATCCCTTGACATGAGTGGAAATCGAAGTGAATGAACGTTAAGCTGAAGTCTATTCAAACCGATTAAATAAGCAGAAGAATGCCCAACCTTGCGGCTTCATGCAGCACATTTCAGAATTGAAATCCCGGTCCTGGGAGACGAGTAAGCTGCATTCGACGACGAAGTCTCTTTCAAGTGCACCATACACTGGCCATCTACCTTAACAAGATGTTGTGTGTGGCAAAATAGATAATGGTAATATTTACATAAATAAGGAAACTAGTCGAAGCACCGAAGGCGCGGGGTCGCAGGCACATTGGCAGACATACAAGGAGACGTGGAGGATGAAGGAACGGATGAGACGAAGGTGGAGCGGGTCATGTGAAACGGAGTGGACGACGCGAACGAGCATGGAGCTCCGAGGGTGCGGGCGGTGGACCCAAATGCGGTGAATGTGAAGCGGGTGTTTTCGTTGTGGACACCAGTGAACTGCACCGCGGTCGATGGAGCGGCCATGTCGGCGTCGGTGAGGACTCGCATGCGCTTCTCAGTACGAGGGTGGGCGCCTAGAGATTCCTCAGCCATCCAGTGAAAGAAGGGGTCGAAAACATACCATTCGACGGCGCAGTTTCCAGTGTGCCCTTGCGCTTGCGTTCGACTGGCGCTGTCAGACACGGCGACGGCAAATCGATGATCGAGTCGCAAGGGCTGAGACCAGGGCTGCTCTCGCGGTCAATTGAGATGCAGAGGTTGCTGGCGACATCCCAATTGTGCACTGCCGTTGCGTCCGAGACCCCGCCATCGGTGCCGGAATTGGAGCGTGCATTGAACATCAGTGACGACGAGCCCAGGTCGTCGTCGAGGAAGGTGTCGAGCCCGTGAGCCATCGATGCTGCATTCCGTGGGGTCATGACTGTGATTCCGTCCATGCTGTACGTTGGTGTTGCCTGCCTCCAGCGGAAATAACCCAGCTGGTACTTGTCACCAGAATGTACTGAAACTGACGTTTGACTTGTCGTTTGTATAGCATTCAGTGTTTGGGCAATTTTAAGCACTCTGTACGTCAATGAACCCGGTAAAGTGCGTATAATTGTCACATCTTACCGGTACAGTAGCATTTCAACCGCTACTGTACTGTACCACGTGTGTAGTATGTACCGGTCACAAATCCAGAAAACATCCCCAAGAAGGTTGCTCTGAGTGGTCTTGATGGAGCTACGGCTAGAGGGCGCTGATGTTCACGCTAATAGGACAGTACAGTACTTTACGAGAACGCACTGGAAATCAGGTTGGAGTTTAAATCCATCGCCAGCTTCAACGAAATGCAAAACATATCTCAGATGGAATTAAAAATATTATTTAAATGACCCAAATCAATTCGAAAACGAGGTGAAGTTAAAATATTGTAATTTTAATATTAAGTTTGTACTTGAGTCGAACTGTCTCAATTCGAATGTGAGTTACACGTTGTTTAAACAAAAACGTACTTTACTGTTAGTGTACTGTTAGCGTTGGTGAATCACCACAACTCAATTTAGAGGTGCTTCTTCCCATTTAGGATCGAACGATGCTTGCAATCGCCGTTGTTTTGTGTGCTCGTCGATGGAGTGTGGAGATAGAAAAAGTAAATTTTACTTTTGACTGCGATCTGACGTCTTGTCAGTTTTCTGAACCAGAAAAACGTGCGATTTTCTTACTGCATGGCTGACTGAACCTTACGAAATCAATCATCTCCGATTGGAAATGATTGATAGGTTTACCCGTTACGTACAATGAATATTACTTCGAAGTATATTACTATTATAGTAGTATATACAAGTATTGTCATATTTTCTGTACCACATATCTCCACTCTAAGCCCCGATACCTCTGAACCCCGGTAAGTGCAAGGTGAAATCAGAAATACTTCGGGGTTTCGGGGAGGTGTATATTTGAGCATCATTCCTGATCGGTTTGACCATATAGTTAATTCAAAAATATTCTACTTACAGCTTTTCACCTTTTTTGGCTAATCCAGGTCTAAAACCATGCTTTAATAAAAACTCATCCTAAAACTACGGCACTCGCCGTGATTTTACGGATGCATGATGAAGTATTTTTACGGTTCGCATTGAATTATAACTATTCGTGATGCTTTGATTGGCTAAGAATTGGTGGAGGTGCACGGTTCTATCTTATTCAACTTGTTTTACAATGATCAGCACGACATGTGTTGTGCTTGTCCAAATTTATGGCATTGAAGTTGACGTCGTTCGCCTCATACTTGGATTCTCACGGCGTAGCGTAACAAGATTCAACACGATGGGAACGCGACGTTTAATCGATCGCGCTGCATGTTAGTCTCGTCCACTTTGCGAATGAGATGGTCCAGTAAATAACGACCTGACTTTATTTAGCTCATGTGCCAGACTCTCGATTTGCATTGTTTAACGTGTGGTTTTAATTTTGTCATACAATAAGACTCTCTAAGCATTAAAATCGGACTTTTATTGTGCTTTTCACATATTTTGGCTAATCTGGGTATAAATACCCGCTTTTAACCAGTGGGTGACGAAGTTTTAGATTAATTCAACTTAGTTTTAGCTAATCGGAAGTACCTATGATTGGATGAGCAATGGCTGTTCCTGCAGCATATGTTGCTAACGTGAAGCGTTTGCCCATTTCATTTCGGCAAACGCGGGGGTTTACA